CTTCACTAATCTCTGTGCACTGCAAAGAACGGAGCTATTTACAGATCAGACATCAAAGCTGCAATCAGAAAAGACGGGGGCATTTCAGGTGAGAACACAGGTCTTCCAAGAGTGATATGTGAAAGGAAGGTGGCCACCAAATGCACAGTGGGGATGTGGCCTGAAATTACAAGGTTGTCTGTCTGCCAGTCACCCAAAACACACAAGGCTACTGGACCACCTCTGCCAGAGCCCCTGAGGAGCAGCCCTTGCAGGCATTACCCATGAGCCAGGCAGTGTTTGCTTCTCCCAGGACTTTACAAGGCCACTGCTACTCACAGAGGCCTGGACAACTGCAAAGAATGACCAGCGCTGGGTAAACTCGAGCTCTGTATGGGCGGTTGCAGAGATCCACTGGGGCAGTGGCCTACACCACAGAGGGCTTTGAAAAGCACGCACCATGGCTGAAGGGTAGAGGTCTGGGTGGTCTTTCCTGAAGACAGGGAGGGGACTGAGTCTAGGCAGTGGTGGAGAACCTACGGCACGCACGCTGCAGCTAGCTGTTCGTTACCATTGGAAGCTCTATAAGGTTCACCATCCTGGGTGAGGACGTGCCATAAAATGAGCCCTGCACAACCTGCAGGGCCTGTGCTAGACCTGACTATACCGCGAGACGGGGACCATGGAAGATAAAAGGGACAACAAAGGCTCTGGCTGTTCTGATGAGCAGGGGTGGCTCAGGCTGCCAGCCCTACAAGTCTGTTCTTTATCACTCTGACCAACCAGCATGAGGAGGCTGTGATCAAGCTGTACGGTGAGGGGGTCAAAAGTGACAAAACCGGGGCTGGGGATTTAGCTCAGCGGCAAAAGCGCCTGCCTGGCAAGCGCAAGGTCGTGAGTTCGGTTCCCGGTACCGGAGAAAAACAAACAAAAAAAAAGTGACAAAACCCTCTCCCTTTTCCCTTCTCCATCTTACGAGGGACGGGGTTCTCTAAACGCCCTAAAGCAGTCTGTCAGGATTTGCTTTGTACCCTCCAGAAGGGGCAGGGTTCCCCAGGTGGGTTTTTCCTTCCCTTCCATCAGCCTAGCTGAAGCTGTGGAGGTAGAGCAGGGCTGCTGAGCACACAGCGCTCCCCACAGATGCTTCTGCTCCTCCCCCATGCTTTCCTATGAAGCTTCCTTTGCTTTTTCCCTGAGAAAGTCACACAGGGCCTCTTTAAGGGTCTGCTGAAGAGACAGGAATCCATTAAGGTTTAGGACTTGCCTATAAAGTTAGCTTGTATTTATCAATTTGTCTGTGGCATACTGTCTCGGCTCTGTGACTGCTACGTAAAACAACTCCCAAAATAAAGACTTGTGAGCCTTGGGCCTAGATGGAGTCTCAAATACGTTTTTATTTATCAGGCTGAGGACTATGCTCTGTTACCCACTGTGGCCTCTCTTGTCTTCTGACCCTGGAGCGTGGCAAGCCTCTTTGTTTAGATAGGCTCTCACTGTGTTGCCCAGCTGGACTCAAACTCATGATTCTCCTGACTCAGCCTGCTGAGTAGCTGGGATTATGGATGTATGCCATTTCGCCTGGCTTCTGGCAAGCCACGGTGCTGGTCAAAGGACAGTACCTGACACAGCCTCTACAGACTCAGCATTCTGTAGGCAACTATGCTCAAATGTCACCTTAGTGAAGAGAAATACCCTTCGATATTTTGCCCCCAAGAAGACAATAAAAAATGTTTACAGGTGTTAACCTTATTGTCTCAGGATTTCACTTTCTTAATAGAAATTCCTTCATTAATTTAGCATGCATCTATTAGTACCCACTATGTGCCAGCGTGGTACTAGAAATATAAGAGGAAATAACAGAGGGCCCATCCTTGAAGAAACAGCACTCTCTTGGTAAAGATAAGGAGCTCTAATCATGTCACAATAACAGTAAGACCTACGCTACCTCAGAGTTCACATAAGGACTACACTTCTCCATCTACTCTCCCGACAAGATCTTAGTAACTACTACAGCTCCGCAGCAGGCAATGGAAGCAGGCAGGTGGAGAGATGACGACACTGGCCCTGCTCCCTGGGACCACGACAGAAATCAGCACAGGCCACAGCAGGTACCCGAAGGAGGAATCATCCAATGGGGGAGACACTGGAGGACAGAAGAAATAGTACTCGAGCTCCAACCTGACAGGAAGTAGGACTGCGACCACAGGACAAAGGCTTGTGACCAGGACAAAGAGAGTGGGGAGAACACACTGGAGAAAGGTAAGGGCACAAACAAAGGCAGAGAAAGAACAAGTGGTGTGTGCGTGAGAAGTAGCAGGAGATAGGCAGAGGTTCTGAAAGATCAAGCTGGCGCCACAGCAGGCTGTAAAAGCAAAAGGGAAGAATGTAAACTCGGGTTCCTCTTCCATGGGATCAGATTTTTAAGGACACTTCTGGCCCTAAAATGCAAAGCCATGCTCTTCCTGATAAAATTAAAGCTTGCCCAATAGTATTAATTCTGCTGAAGAAAAAAGCTATATTCATAAGTTTGCCTGCCCACCCTGGAAACTAGTGTTTTCCCCTGGAGACAGAAGTGCTGCAGGGGTGAAAGAGGGAAAGGGGAGAGCAGAGAAAGTCATGTGAACTTTCCAGGACAGATTCATCTTTTAGGCTTGCCTAGGGGAGAGGGGAGAGGAAAGAATGAAGGGGCTGGCACCCCAAAACAGAGCACAAGACTGTCTTCTGGTCAGCTCCACTCCCAGGGTTCTCTCGCATGGCAGCAGATGGTCTGTCCCTGGAGAACCGGGCCCCGGAAAGCGGCTGCTCCCAGGTCCTGGTTTAACCAACAGCTGGGGTCACAGGTCCTCCGCGTACACGCTGAAGGCCAGAAGTCAACAGGCCCCACTGTGACTGATGCAAGGCCCTCGGGCCAGGCTCATGCCCTACGCCTGCCTGGAGTAGAAGCCTGGGAAGGTAACACTACACAAGCTGGAAGACTGCACTTGCAAATCAACAGAGGAGTATAAAACCCAATCTTATAAATTACCTTGACTCTGCTAGGAAACTACTGAGATGCTGATTATTGGAGAGTTAAAGGACATGCCCATCCACGGGATGGGGAGAGACAGAAGGGTAGATATTTATCAGGTGAAAGTCACTAAATGCCTCTGGTTCTCCTCTTCCTCCTGCCTAATGCACACAGGAGTCTGGCTCCAACCAAAAAGCAGGCTAGATGTTGCATGTATTAGAAAAAGAGATAAAAATCCATAAAATGACGTGTGTGTACACAGAGGAGTATAGCTGTATGATTACATAATTAGGCACATTAAAGTATTTATACAGCTGAGACTAAAAGCCCCTACTCAGAGGCATTCCACCAAAGTTTAAAGGGGAAAAAGAAAATAGAAAATAAAGCATCTAATTGCCATCTTCCACAAAGCCAGACATCCCCAGCTGGTGCCACAGCTGAATTCTCTTAATTAACATGTTGTAACGGCAAGTATGAAAGACACTGTGTGCTTATCAACTCCGTGCGGTGGCCAGCCAGGCACACAAGCGGCCTGGAATACTGCTACAGTTAGAAAGACTTCTCTTTTTTCTCTTGCAATGGTACTCCAGTGCGGGATGCTGGTTCGTTTTTCCTAAAAACTTTGTTGTTTAGAGAATGTGCATATCAACTCTATATCCATAAAGTTAGGGATGAGACTAGAAAAGAAGAAAAAGTTCACAGTCCAGGAGCTGATTTATTTTCTGGTGGTTGTTTTATTCTTAACTCCAAATGCAGCACTCTCCCAGTTAGAGAACACTAGCACTGTTTGAGCAGGCGGGCCTTTTAAATAAAAGCTCATCTTGCAGCTTAAAAATCAAAGGTTAAATATAGCCAAGCACAAAGAAGATGACAGAAATTAGCATATAAATGAGTACAATGGGGGACATTAATACACAGAGTGACTAGGTCAATATGTAATGTATTCAATGGAACAGACTCACAGTTCTAGAAGGGCCTTTTACACTTACAAGGAGGATTTTGTTTTTATATGACTCTTAGTCACAGCAGAACCTGTTCAAGGTAGTCCCCCTACTTCCCTGAAAAGGGCCTTCAAAGTCAAACAGTAGGTTTACATACTATTAAAAGAAGGTTGTATTTTCAGAAAGCCCCAAAAGATGATGAAATGCCTAATAGCACTCTGCCTATAAGACACAACCTCGGGCAACGTCTCTGGGCATTTTAGACATCATTCCTTAGCTGTGGGGCTTTTTTTTTTTTTTTTTTTTTTTGTAGCTAAGCAAAGCTGCTGACTTAGTCACTTATACTCCATACACGCTACACCCCACCTCTAGCACCCTCAACTCAATTCCAAACACTCTCCCATCTTTCTTCTATCATCAGCTATTTCATTCTTCCATTTGCAACTCAACCTTCCAAAAGCTGAAGGTGAAATAACTCAAGTTCCTGTTGCAGCATACATGGCCGCACAGATGCACGGGTGACGCCACTCCGTGTGTGGCTGGCTGGCAGGCAGCCACACCTCACAGCCACTCAAGCAGTTCTTTCTCAGCTGCTGCACAAAAGTTCAAATTCATTACACAAAGGCGACTGGGTGTCACTTTACAATGTACCAGAGAACAGGTTATTCCTAAGACAAACGTTTAGAAGTAGACTGCTGGATAAAGTGGCCCCCAACACACACACACACACACACACACACACACACACACACACACACACACACAATCTCCCACAGATTATCAAATTTAATTTCCTGGCCCCCCCACGCCTTTGGTCCCAAAGGCGCAGAATCAACTAAGTGAGCCTAGAGAAGACATGTTCCTATGTAGGCCCACATGCAAATGAGGAACGTGTGCGAGAATGAGGGTCACGGGCACGCAGCACTCGCACCTGCATGTCGGAGAGTCCTGAGCTCTGCAGCACTGCACCGAGGGAAGACAGCCAGTCCGCACCTGCGTGAGCCCACAATTCGGGACGACAGCTCACCCTGGGTTTCCCCAGCCTCCACGCCTTGCTGATGGAACAGACCTGTCACACACGCAATCGGAGCTCTGAAGTCTGCAGATGCCTCCGGCCAGGTCTCGCAGTGGAATACCATTAGCACAATAATTCCTTCCAGCGGTGAGTAATCTGCCCATAAACAGACTCGGCATGCCTCACATGCAGCACGCAAGTGACACTGTCTGCTAGGGCTGGTCTATCTATACTCGCTACACTTCCCTCGCAAGCCCTAACAAACCCACCCACTTCCAAAACGCACAGGCACTGCACGCTGGGCCTGCTGCTTTCCCTCTCAACCCTTCCCCAAATATTGTCAACTTTCCCATCTCAGGACAGAGAAAAACTTGAGAAGTTATACTGGGATTTCTGCAATGTGAGCAGGAGAAGCACTGAAGTCAAGACCTCAGAACAGTCTGCTTAGCAGCAACCCAAGGCAGTGGCTTCTAAGAGGGGGAAGGCGGCCTTGGTCTTTGAAGGTCCTGGCTGCCGCGAAGGCTAGAGGCTCCTTAGCACCTCTTCTGCTGTAAGAGCCCCAGTCCCCTGGCACAGTGCCAAGCCCGGCAGCAGGGCCTCGGCCTGGCCTGCACCAGGCAACTGGCCTGGCTGATCCCCAAAGAAGAGCCACTCATTTCCCAGGGCAACCCAGTGGCCTGCCCCAGTTCCAGCAGCTGTAAAGGAAACTGCCATTTTCTAACTGTGGACAGTGCTTTAGCTCCCCATTTCTATAGGAAACGAATAGATCTTAGGATAAGTATAACACATTGTGCTTCTTTGAAAAAAAATTTATATTCCCAGCTAGGAATGGTGGTACATCCCTGAAATCCCAGCACTCTGGAAGGCTGAGGCAGGAGGATGAAAGTTCAAGCCCAGCCTGGGAAACGTAGCAAAATCTTGCCTCAAAATTAAGGGGGGTGGGGGTGGGGCTGGGGATGCAGCTCAGTGCAAAGGCCCTGGGATATATACTCTCCCCATTTCTACTTACTGCAAGATAGTCTATTAAGGAGACTACTTCTTGACTGGTCTTTCTCTATCTGAACTTACAAATGAAAGACATTCAAATTTCTTATTTAAAAATTTTAGGAGTACACAGCACATGGGAATACCACCCAATACCGGCAGGGGTTTGAGCAAACACTACTCTTCTACTGCTGATTAAGCGAGGGGTAAGTAGCGTCACCCTGACTTGGGCAGTAAGCCCTGCGCAATCTCATTTTGAAAGGATACTGGACTCCACCAGGTCCACCAAAGGACGTATCTCTACTTAGGGCAGAAATGGTCAAAGCTTTACTCACAGTGGTACCCACCAGCTGGTCCCACTCAGCCAGCAACAACCTAGGGCCTCAGCTGCTGGGTCCAGCCATAAAAGCTGGCACCAGCACTGTGGAACCACACTCGTCCAAGACAAAAGACAAAAGATAAAATCGGCGGCCTCCCACCAGGCCATTTCTCCTTCCCGGAGCTAACTGCATGCCTTCCTTCACACTACAGACGGAGTCGGGGCTCCCGCTGCTGCCCACTAGGTGCATGCTCCAGTGCAGCCTCACCGGCTAACCTTCCCCACAGCACATCTTCCCACACGCTGCTTTCTTCTGGAATCTACTAACAGCTGTCAACCTCTATGTGTCCCAGTGCTTGTGCTGAACGTCAAGTCTCTCACACCTCGGCTTGCTCTACTTCTCCCCCTGCTCTCCTTATTCCTCTGTGATCATGGCCTTGACACAGTACTCTGGGTCATCTCAGCTCTCTCCTTCAATAGCCTTCACTAACTCAACCCCAGCCCAGACACCAGGCTAACCTTAAGTGCCCTCTTCCACAGGAATTTTTTTCCTCTCTGAACTAAAGCATCCAGGTCTACACAATCTAGCAAACAGTTAACATACCAGTATTTCCACCCTTCCTAAAGATGACTGGGTCCTGCTTCTCCTTGGTAACACAAGCTCTTCAAAAGGGCAGAGTGTCTACCCTCATGGTCCTGGGCACATGTATGAAGCAGGACCAGTACCTGATGGGAGACTATGTCCAGAAGGACTGGTATCTCTCAAAACATGGACAAGCAAAATGCTTTAAAAGACCCCAGCTCTTGTTTCCCAGAGAGTCTCCCGTCCCCACACCGGGCTCCTGACCAAGTCCTGGCAAACCCCAAGATTTCCGCCTGCAGACAATTCCCATTTCAGCTTGCATCAAAGTATCAAACAAAGGATTTCACAACACCTCCACCCCTGCTCCAGGCTCCCGAGCTCTTCAAGGGCACTCTGTTTAAACAGGAGGTAGAACACACTTTGGGGAAATGATGAAGCAACTTCCCATAAGAGGAAAGAAAAAATTCCCCAAGTGCAAAAAAAAAGGCTTCCTGGAAAACAAACTGACAGCTTTCTTGCCAGGGCAGGGATAAAGGAACTGACTTCAGGCCGCTCGCCCTTCACCCTCCGCAAAGCCCGCAGTGCAGGAACAGCACAGACCGCAGCAGAAAGGGCTGCGGCAGCTCCTTGGGGCCCGATACGGGACTCAGCACAGTTTCCAGACTCTGGGGCCCCACTAACGGCGGCATCCAGCACTATCCAAGATGCTCCTACAGTCTAGCCCCCCACTTCCTCTTTTTCTTTTATATGCCTTAAACAATAGCTGTAATCCCAAAGTTTGGGTATAAATACAATCATATTTTAGATACTCTGGGGCACTTGCTATTTAAAAAGAATTGCATGGAGATCCCTCTGGTGAGTCATAAAACCCTTTTACAATGGCCACACTCTCATTAAAAAAAAGCGGGGGAAGATTTAATGTTGTATTTCATACACTTGGTTTGATTGTAAGGATTATTTTCTCTACCGTGTGGGGTTCAGGAGAGGACACCTGCAAAATAGTGTAAAGGAGAAAATCCCTGCCATTCTGTTTGATGTGCAAGGACCATCTCGTAATTCCTTATAATTTCTCACTGCTAGTCAAAACACTACAGCTACGCAGGCAGTACTCTTAAAGCAAGGAAAAGCATCACCCATAAAGGAAGCTTTTCTAAGCTCCATGTCCACAGGGAGACCTAATGTTTCAGTAACATTAACACCTCAAGGCCCTGGTTTCAATCCTCTGCACGGCAAACCATGATTCACATTTAACAAATTTGAATATAGCAATGCAGCACTTGTGAGGGTTCTTTGACATTAAACCCTTCTGAACTTCGGAATTCACCTAGCCTGCTTGCATGGAGCAGAAGGTAGCAAGCAACAAATCAAATCCTAGCTCTTCCCTGATCACAGTAACATGAGCCACCCCCTGCAACACCTCTTACTGCCTTACTCTCCCCATCTAAAGGCACATTCTCAAAACTAATGAACAAGCCATAAACAAACTACCAAAGCAAGCCAACTCTCCAGGTGCAACAATGGTGTGATGGGGGTTAGAGTCTCCCACTAGTCCCCTGCACAGTCCTCCCCACTTCCCAGCCCACCCACCAGGCGCCCTACTAAGCCACTCAGCCTGTGATCATTCAAGCAGGGGCCGCCTTTCTCTGGATCAATGTGGATTCCTGTTACAAAGCTCTTTCAGAAAATAAAATTAATCTGCCTACTTTGCATGTCTAACGGATTTCCAGGGTTTATATATAAGTTTACTCTTTAGGCAGATGCTGGGGAGACAGGAGGCTGGCGAAGGCTAGAGGGCACACACAGCACCACCCAGAATTCTTCCCCTGAGCAAGGCTTTTCTGTACGCTGCATTAACACGTATATGCAACTCATGAACCACTTTTTTTAAATGCCAGATGCCAATTTATTACTTTTCAAAATGACCAAAAGTAAACTGATGGGGGAGGGGGAGGGACTAGGCGTTTCCCTGGGCCTGTTCAGCGCACTCTCTGCCTGGAGGGAAGATACCCTGGGAGCCTCTTTATTAGGGTGTCTACACCAGTTTCTTAACCACAAAACAGAAATCCCCTTCTGTTGCAGCTAACTAAAGAAACGGCTACAAGAGACAGAGGACAGCCCTGTGAACGGAATTTGTGGGGAAGGAATCTGGAGGGAAGGGGTGGAGACGTACCAGTTTTCTTCCTCTAACAAAGCCACAAGTGAAACTAAGACCCACAGAAATTCACTGGGAGGTTTTGTGTTAATGGGAAGCGCTGAGTCAGGGGGGAGACTAAGGAAACCATCCTCTCAAAATCCAGACTTGTTGAGTGTCATGGGGTCTGACTGACAAAAGCGGCTCCACAGCAGCGGGGTGGGGAGAAACGTGTGCACTGGAGGGAACAGCGTGAGTAACGATCTGGGAGCACGGGGCACAGTGCACAAAGACAGCAAACTCGATGCCTGGACCAATTCCTCGACAAAGGCTAGGACAGGGAAGCAGTACAGAGGAGGACATTACCTAAGTCTGACAGTGAGGTGTGTTTGCGCGCCTGAGTGCCTGTCTCTGCCTTCCTCCCTCCTTCCCTGCGCCCTCTTCAGTGTTATACCTCTGGGGATGGAACCCAGAGCCTTCACACTGAGCCACATCCCTTGCCTAGGGTGGCTTCAAACTTGTGCTCCCCCTGCCTCAGCTTCCCGAGTGCTGGGGTCACAGGTGCGCACCATCCGAGTTACACCGGCAGTATGGGAGAAGACAGACTTGTGGAGAGAAAAAGAAGAGTGGAGACTGGACACAGGAGCATCAGGACAGAAATGAAGGCTGCGGCTGCGAGCAGCGGCTCTGTCTGAGGGGGCTGCCACTTATGCCCTTGGCTGCAGTTAACCAGCTGGTTCTCTGCTCAAGCGTGTGAAGAACGGGGCTTTGGTGAGGCGGTTTACACCCACGATCCCTGTCGCTGCTGAGCTCTGCGCCTCTGGACAAGACACCAAACCAACGACCTGAAAGCACCAGGAGACTGTCCTGAACAGAGGGGGTCTTGCTGACCCTTCCCCCACCCCCACCGGAAGTTATTTTGAGGCTATAGGACAAATGTTCCATTTAGGCCACATAAGTGGTTTTTTAAAAGGCGTAACATTTAAAAACGAATTGCGGGATTAGCTCAGTGGTGGAGCCTTTGCCTAGCCTTTACAAGGCCCCAGGCTCCATCACCAGCACAATAAAAGCAAAACAAAATGGGACAAAACAAATGCCATTCCTACTGGCTGAAGGACCTGGAAAATGGCAGGTGACAATCATAAACATACATTCCAAAACTTCTAGAAGAAAATGTAACAGCCTATCTTTATGAAATTTCGAGAGGAAAAGGCATTTTAATTGTTTTTTTTTTTTTTTTGGAAAAAGCATTTTAAACAACATAAAAGAAACATTCTAGAAAGGAAAAAATATAAAATTAGCACTACAAAGCAGCAGTGGTTTTCAAACTCATTGTTCACAGGTCCTTCTGCATGAAGAAGAACTATTAAAATTCCCGAAAGAGCCGAAGCGTGTGTGTGTGCGCATGCGTGTGTATATACACATACTGACACACACACACACACACACACACATCTAAAGCCAGCTACAGTGGAGAGGACCCACAGTCCTAGTTACTCTGGAGACTGATACAAGAAAATCACTGGAGCCCAGGAGCTAACACAGCCCACAACTCTTAAAAACAAATTATTAAAGACCTCCGAAGAACTCTGTCTGTGTGTTACATCTATCAATAGAATCACATTTGAAAATAAAGCTGAAAGTTTTAAATATTTATAAATTCACTTGAAAAATAACAAACTCATTACTATTAACGTTGGCGAGACCATAACCACCACCAGGCAGCTTCTGCATATTAAACTACACACTCAGGAAAGATTACTGTTAACATGAAAACAGTTCCAACCCCATCAATCCTGATAGGATCTCAAGAACCAATGAGAAAAACTGCCACACAAAAAGCTAAAACAATCTACAAAATGGGAGACGATAACCAAGGAAATTCAAAACTGAAGTCCCATGGAGATTATATTTCATGTCCATCAGATTGGTAAAAATCAATATCTAACAACGCTAGCTGTTATAAAGCATGTGTAAAATTAAGACTTTTCTTATATATTAGTAATAGCCTAAAATGGCACAACTACTTTGGAGAATTATTTGGCAATATGCGGAAAGTTGGACTTGTGCGTCTCCAAGTATGTGCTGGTAGGGATAGGCCAGGGAAGTCCTGCACACATCCTTATGAAGCATGTACAAGATGTTCCTGAAGTGTTTGTAATGGTGAAATTGTGGAGTTGCCTAAAGACCCACCAAAGAAAGAATGTCTACCCATTTATTTTATTATTTATACAACTGTAATTAATTATAATTGGACATGATAACTTAGCTATTAATTACAGTATAATATGAGTTATATATTAGTGTTCCAGAATGCTACACTGTAAACTAAACATATTAACATGGCTAAATACCAAAAACAATTATTGAGTAAATAAAGGACACTATGAATGTTTACTACATTTTAAAACACACAAAATGGCCGGTGTGGTGGCATGCGCCTGTAATCCCAGCACTCAGGAGGCTGAGGCAAGAGGATTGCTGCAAGTATGAGTCCAGCCTAGGCTACATAGTGAGTTCAAGGCCAGGCTGGACTGCATAGCAAGGCCCTGTCTCGAACATACACACACACACACACACACACACACACACACACACACACACACTATCCTATATGGTGGTATCTCAGTTCACAAACTGAATTCATTCCATGATTCTGGTTGCAAACCAAAATGGTCATGAACCGAATCAAATTTCGCCATAAGGTTCAACATAAATAAGATTGATCCATTCTGAACCATGTATTTTTGTGCCCACAAGACTATGAAGCAACATACAGTACAGGATGAGAGAAAAGACACTAACCTTGCCTGAAGGAACTTCTTGCACCGAGGACAGAAAGGTGTGTGGGGAGGAGCGAGTGTCCCCCTCCATAAGGACATGGGGAGTGTTCCTGCAGGGTTTCCTCCCTTCTTTGTCTCTTATCTGCAGGGTCAATTTTGACCAAAAATCTGTCTAATGTCACTCGTTTTGCTGACACTGCACAACCCTCTGCAAATGAGAGACCATGTTATTATTTATCAGAGTCAACACTCTATTCCTGACAGTCATGTGGGGGTGGTGCTTCTCGATGAAATCTTTATCCCATTTTTCCACAGTGCATTTCATCACATAACTGCTCATCACCTCCTCCCTGTCTTCCTCTTCTTCAGCGGAATGTTTCTTACCAAGCGTCTTCTGTTTCTGCTGCTCACTCTTCCACAATCACCTCCTCCTACGGTCCTCAACAAGCTCCTCTGCCTGCACCATAGATGTCCACACCCATACTCTCGCCCATGGACACTATCTCCTCCACTCCTTGAGCATCAGACCCTTCAAAGACACATTCAGTGACACATTCTGGCCACAGTTTCCTCCAGCTGAGTTTCAGGTGACACCTTCCCAGGCCTTCTCAATGAGGCTGATGCAGTGGAGGACGCTGAAATGTTTCTTCCAGAACTCTTTCACAGTCAAGCATATCTCTTCGATGACATTAAAACACCTGGTGAAGAATGTCTTTGTGTACAGCGCCTTTTTTTTTTTTTTGTACCAGGAATCGAACTCAGGACATTGGGCTTGCCAGGTAGGCACTTGCACCCCTGAGCTGTATCTCTGGCCCTTGTGCAGCTCCTTGAAACTGCAGAACGCTTGCTGGCCCCTGGGCTGCAGAAGAGGTATCATGCTGGTGGGGAGCAACCTGACCTCCGTAAAGTCATACTCAAGAGTCCGTATCATCCACCAAGGCTGGAGGGTGTGCCGGGGCAATGTCCACCAGCACAAGGCACCTTTCAGGCAGCTGGCTGCGACAAAGATAATCCTTAACAGTGGGCACAAACACCTCATGCACCTCATGACGAATGTCTTGTCACCCAAGCTTTCGCACTGTCCCTCCACGTGACAGGCAGAATGGCCTTGTTGGCATCCTGCTCCTTGCACGCACGAGGGTCTGGCAGCGGTACGCCAGCAGTGGCTTAATCTTCAGATCGGAGCTTGTGTTTGCACACAGCGAAACAGTTCACCTGTCCTTCAGGGCTTGCGGCCTGGCAGTGCCTTTTTCTCCTACATGACATGGGTTCTGTTCAGCATCTTCTTCCAGAAGAGCCCTGTTTTGTCACAACTGAGTACTTAAAAGCAACACACCTTTCTACTTTCGTGAGTTCTGTGGACTCTTTCTTATAGATTTCTGCAGCAGCTTTGTCAGAACTGAAAGTCTCACGTCTTATCACACTGTGGAGGCCATTTTTCTTGTGGTGGTTTGTTGTCAAACCACCCTCTACTGACTTTAAATTCATCATTTGCTGCACTTGCAGAGGGGTGCCCTTGCAGTACATCACTGCACAATGTCCCAGCTTTTTCACAGATCACAGCTTCACTGACACTACCACCTGCCAGCTGTTTCTCATCCGCCCACCCTAACAGAAGTTTCCCACCTCTTCCAGCAGCGTCCTCAGCTTCGTTAACACCGTTACTCCTCTGCCACATCAGCTCCTCTGACGCCGTCTTTATTCTTCCATATAGTAGGTTGTCAGCTTCACCATCTTATACTCCACGGCCAGGCCAGTCGCAAATACCACACTCGTGCTTTTCTACCACTTTCTTCTTTAATTCAACGCTTATTTTCTTCAAAACCTCCTCACCGCTCTCGCTCTGCACGTTCTTGTCACCTTTATTACCCGCTCTGCACTTTCTTTTTACCACCATGCTCGCTGTGCACTTTCTTCGGAGCCATCGTGGATTGAGCAGTACTGTACAGTACGGTATGCGCTGAACAGCACACAAAAAAGCTTCACAGCACGCACGCACAGGTCTGTCTGCGACCGCGATCCCAACCAGAGGGAGCCACGACCACACGTCGGAGGGGGAAGACGGCCGCCGCTGTGTTCATCGCCTGACGTGGAGTTCTTGAATGGAAGCAAGATTTTGCCAAACACTTCTGTTCACAAAACAAACTGTTCCCAAACAGAAGTATTTGTGAACTAAAGTATTACTGCATTGCTTAGAAATATGTAAGTATATGAAAACATAAATACATCGGAAGTCACACGCCAACTTAGGATCCTATTTATCTATGGGGCAAAAGACCTGAAGCAAATATGCCAAAATATTAAATCTGGGTGGGCAGGTGCCCAGGTATCATATGTTAGTCTCTCTGTTTTGTTGTTTTGAGCCAGGGTCTTGCCATGCTGGATTTCAACTCCTGGGCTCAAGCGATCCCTGTACCTCAGCCATAGCCACATACCACTGCATCTGGCTACAGTCTCTGTACTTTTTAAATGTTTATAAATTTTCTTTGAAAAGCTGAAAATGAGGTAACAGATTTCAAGCGGCAATTACCTGGAACATAATATCCACTTAAATGTTCTTTTCATCTACAGTATTTTACAGTACCCCAAAACTAAGGCCTATCATTTCTTGACCAGGCATTTGATAACTTGGTACTGTCACCTAATGTTCACAACCATCCTAGGACCCACTTGATCCCAAAGTACAGACGGCAACAGCAAGATTCACGGACCGTGCCAAACCCTATGAGAGAACATCCACCAAGAGTTCCTGTATCCACCCTAAACTGCACCCATCTGAAACCTACATCACCCAACAGGACCTGTAAAAACTGTTTTCTTAACAGAGTAACCTGAGCGCTCTGAGCAGGCCAGAGCTTTGTTTGAAGGCACTTGGTCTCAGTGAGCCACCACCTGCCTTGAAGTCAAGCTGGCAGCCAGACCCAGCCCGCTGCTGTCGTTCAGGTCAACACACACCCTCCTTACCCACTCCCACTGATCCTCCTCAGCTCCCTCCTACACCTGGCTAGGCCTCAGGACTGGATGTCAACGTCAAAACACAGACTTTAGGTCCCACGGGCTTCCTACGACACTCAAGGCACGAGCATGCCTCCGAGGTACAGTTTCTCGGTACAGGCCACCCTCACCACCTGCCGCAGCGTGACGGGGGCAGCTGACCACATAGCTTCTCTGTCTGACAGGAATATAGGCCATTTGTACCCTTAGAGAAATAAGGGGCTAGGAGATTATTTCACATTGCTAACTATTAAAGAAAGGTTGCTGGCTCCACTCCAGATCTGCTGAATGTTTCTTCACAGGACTGGAGCATGGCATCGGCTCAGAGGAGGTGGATTTCATAATTCTGATGAAGGAACAGAACCTCAGCACCTTTTCTGTATTCCAGAGTCTCCAGATGTCAAATACTACTCAAAACTCTTATTCCCAGCTCTTCCTTAGTTTGGATCCTGCCTTCC